CTCCCTCCCTCCCTCCCTCCCTCCCTTCCATTCCTACAGTCATCCAAGTCACTTGGTTGATTGAGTACAATCTTAAAACTGTAAGTTAAGGCCAAAATTCCTGTTGCTAAGTGAAACAATTGCTAAGTGAGTTTTGCTCCCCTTTTGTGACCTTTCTCGCCATTGTTTTTAAGTGAATCACTGCTGTTCTTAAGGTAATGACACAGTTGTTAAGTGAGTCGGGCTCCCCCATGACCCCAGCCCCCAGGACGATGCGACCATCATAAATACGAGTCATTTGCCAAGCCTTTGAATTTTGATGACATGACCCTGGGAAGGCTGCAACAGCTGTAACTGTAGAAAAAAAGGTCACAAGTCACATTTTTTCAGTGCCACCGTAACTTTGAACGGTCACTAAATGAACTATTGTAAGTTGAGGACTACCTGCATTTATTTTTAACAGTTTGACCAGAGGTCTTCAAACTTGGCAACTTTAAGGCTTCAACTCCCAGAATTCTCCAGCCAGCTCTGCTGATTTTTTCTCGAAACAGGCTCATTTTATCACTTGGCCAGGGCTCCCGTCAGCTAAAAATTTGGCTAAACTATTCCTAGCTCACTTTTACCGGTTGCACGGTGTACCTAAACGTATAATTTCAGCTCGTGGGGTACAGTTTACTGCTCAATTTTGGCGCAGTTTCCTGAGGAGGGTGGAGTCCTCTCAGGGTTTGACTTCTGCGTTCCATCCAGCTACCAATGGCGCAGCAGAGAGAACTAACGCTGCAGTGGAGCGGTAGCTCCATTGTTATGTGCAATATCAGCAAACTGACTGGGCGGATCTACTGCCATTTGCTGAGGTTGCACATAACAATCCAGTACATAGTAGCAATGGTGGTTTACAGCTGGTACGCCCCGGTACGGGCATACTGGTGCCTGCTGGGAGCAGCAGGCACTGTTCCGGTATGGTGCTTCAGAGGGCCCACCCGCCCGCCTGTGTTCCTTACCTGCATTTGACCCAACCGGGCGATTTGTGCATGCGCACACAGAGTGCAGTACTTGTGCGACACTCCGCTGAGCAGCTGGTTTTGGATGCCAAACCCAAGCGCTTGCCCACTGCAAGCCCAGTGTTGCCCCGTTGGCCTCTGGGCCTGGTAGGGAATCAAAGGCTCCTTTTCCAAAGTTTCCTCCCAGCCAGCCACCCATCCCTTCCTCTCCCTCCATCTCAGTTTTACAGGTCCCTGAACATCAAAGTGGCCCTGATCGGTCTGGAAGTCTGGACGGACCAGGACAAATGCACGGTCAGTGAGGATGCCCACGCCACCCTCGTCTCCTTTCTCCAGTGGAAGAAGACGCTGAGGAGCCGCAAGAAGCACGACAACGCTCAGCTCCTCACGTGGGTCCCTTCCTCAGGGGTCTCCGACAGTCACAAGGGTTGTGGAAAATGGTCAGGGGCATCAGTGGGCGCCAACTTGACTTTTTTGACTTGCCTGCCCTAACTGTGGGCACTTCTGCTCCCCCTGGCATGAGAGAGAGAGGGGGGGGGGAGGAATAGATAGATAGATAGATGGATGGATGGATGGATGGATGGATGGATGGATGGATGGATGGATGGATGGATG